TGATTCTGGAAATGCAGGGTATTTACAAATAAAATTTGTAAATTTTTCTAAACCCATAATCTATAAAAGTTCAAAAGAGATTTTTCAAGTGTTACATAATTCTGCATAAATGAACATGAAATACTGTGCACATGAACACTTTTCAAATCTCATCTTAACCACCACAAATTAACAGAGAAATAAGCTTCTCAACATGTAACCCTCATCCTAAAATATCTTCTTTGTTCTCACAGTGATAGTTTACTTAGAGAATTGTCATAGTATCCTGTGTAAGATTTTTTAATCTTCATCTGACATTTATCAAAAGAATCTGTTTCTTAGTTTGCTAGAAAATCCCTCACTCATCCTGTCCACCAAAAATCAATCTTGAACTTTGGAAAGAAACTCAGACTTTTGAGCAGAGATAAAGCCACAGGAGACTCTTGAGAGACAGAAATGCCACACTTCTGCTACCAGCACTCCGTGACAGAATTCATTTGCAATATACCCATGTCGGCTTTCCTAAATGCCAGTCTTTCACCATGGGACATATACAAAGCCCTCAGAGGGCCTCACTGGAGATCTTAGGAAAGCAGGACCAGGAAAGTGTATCTCCTGTCCAGCTTCATTTAAAATGCCTCTACATTTCTCTACATTATTTCTGAACTACACCAAGCAATTGATATGTTCTGATAATTTTCTTTCCAGAGTGCTTTTCTTATCTTTCTTATCAAAGCATTTTTTTATCCTTTTCTATGCATCTCAATTCTCAGAAGGCAAAAAAAAAAGGGGGTAAATAAACTGCAGAGTGAAATCCCGTGAGAGAGTGAGTTAGAGGGATGAAGAAGGGGAGAGTGACACAGAAAGAGAGAGAGAAGGAGAGAGGGATAAAGAGTGAGAAAGGTCTTAACTGTGCTTCCACTAAAACATTTGCTTTCATCACATTTCTAGCTTATTTTGAACCCGTATTAAAGTTCTGACTTGTGGTCGGTACCTGATTACTTTTGAGACATGACTTAATTTCCTGCAGGCCCCAGACCTATACATATATATTAATTTGTAAGGCTTGTCTAGTCTGAGAGTCTCCAGATGGGGAAATTCAGCTTATTCACGCTCTCAAATTTAGTTACATGAAGAAAGCTTTTTGTCATTCCCAACATGTCAGCCTGCCTCAGACGTGCAATTTAGCTATTGTTTTCTTCTCACAAACATACAAAGGCATTCATTTAACAAACAAAATAAAAACAGGAACCAACAGCCTAAACTGCCCATGTACCACTCCCTTGGTGCTTCTGTTATGGTTGCGTGTAATGAATGGATGGTTGACAGCTGGGCATCTCCCTGCTGCAGAGGCAGCGCTGGTATGGGGTAGTGGCAGGAGAGTGCTGGACAGGGGCAGTCACCTCCTCTGTCATCGGGGCTCAGTCACCAACCGACTGGTAGATTTGCAATAAATGTTTCACCTTTCTAGGAGTTGATTTCCTCACCTATAACGTAACGTAGTTCACCATAGCTTCAAAGTCTGTTTCAGGCTCCACGATTATGGCTCTCGTAGAGAAACCAAGTCCGTATTGTATGCTTCATATATTTCCTTATATATTCTCCTGATGGCTGAGGGTCTAAATAAGTCACTAATTGTAACCATCCTACGTCCAGCTAGTTTAAAGGTAGGTCAGGAAGTGTTCTCTAAGCTTATGGCATATCAAGGAATTGATTAAACTATCAGGTATGATAAGAATAACGGAATATTTTTAGAGAATTAAATTTCTTGTCCAAACACCTCTCAGAATATGACTTGGAAGGCAGCATCCTCTGTAAAAATTGTGTTTGTACACTTGGACAAGGACTTTACTTGCCTATACAGTTCGTTGTACTATTTATTCATTGGAAACATTCTCCAGCTGAGATTTGTATACAAATTAAATAATTATGACCTTCCCTACTAACTTTTATAATGAAGCAGCAGAAACTCTAGGTTAATTTAATTTTTGCTATGCCATTCATTAGTAATAAGTTTTACCTTTTTGGCCCAATAAACATAATCAAAAAGTTCATCACACAAATAAAATCCAGTAAGAGAGCACATTGTTCTTCATATTTCTAATTAACATACAGGACAGATTCATCTTCTTAAAGGTAAAATTCTTCTCTACTTGTTGGTCATTGCTCTGAACTGATTCTGTTCCTCTTTTATCTTTTGCAAGCCAACTCCTTAGAGTGTATTTCAATATTTTGAATCAGACCAAAGTAAAGTCAGTATTTAAAAGGCAGTGTCACTTCTTCATAACACATCTATTTTTGCATGGAAAAGATTGTTTGTGGACTTGCTAGATCATAAGTTGATTAAGAAATGATTTACCTTGTGTTATTATTTCATGTTATATTATTGTTTTATGTTATTTCCTGTTATGTATTTCAATACTGTAATTTAAGTAATTTTGAAGGTTTTCATATTTTATATGGAATTTTAGATCTGGGAGGACCTTAGGGCAGCCTCTTGATTTTATCAGATTAGGCTAGATTCGCTGCAGATTCTCTGAGTACCGTGACAGAGGGGGTTGGTCCAGCGTGACCAGCGCTTCATTCCACTGCCACCGTGCTGTATCACTCTTGGCACATGGCAAGGGCACAAAAAAGAATTGAATGAGTCGGTATTCAAGGTCATTCAATTACTAAGTGACATTCCTGGTGCAAGAATCTGGATTCCTTAACTCATCTAGATATCCTTCTAATAATTTCCCGTGCTATAAAATTATAGGGAATGGCTCATTAGCAAACTGTTTCTGGCTAGGAAGATTAAGAGACAAACAAATAGGGTGATTATTAAACTTTGATCATTCCTTAGAAAAATATGTTTAAGCACTCACTGCATGCTTAGCCCTGGTTAGGTACTAACCAAACGATACTACGTTCTATAAGAAGAACATGCATAGATGAGTGGAAATAAATCTAGCTATAATATCCGCAGACTTTCTAAAGATGACCTTAGTTTTATAGTTTGGCTACGTCCTATCTTTATAAATGCTGGTGAAAGGACAGTTGTGAAAGCGGGAACATGCCTGTAATAAGCAGTTTCTGAGAACCAGTGTGAAAGGTGAATAATGGGGAGGAATAATAGTAAGAAAATAAGGCTAAAAGGTAGGCAGGTAAGGATCAGATCATTAAAGACAGCTTGTACTTTATCTTGTACTTGTACTTTATCTTAAAACTAACATAAGACATAGAGTTATCTCTTACGCAGAGGTCCTTTGAATATAAGACACCAGAAAATGGGAAGATGGTTCATTGTGCTTCATGTGCAATCTGTAAAATAGCCATCATAAAAGTGCCTGCATTTGGGGGCTGCCAGTATTAAGTTATACAACATACATGAAGCATATTCCATTCTACCTGGCACCTAGTAACTGCTAAATAAATATTACCTATTTCAACTATCAGTATAATATTATTATGACAGCTATTTCTCATCAAAGGAGGCAAAATGAACTATGGCCAATGAATACTTACCATTTTATATGGGAAAGCTATTTAGAAATTTTTAAAACGTACTACCATCTGGTTTTAGTTGTAGTGCTGGAGAATGTTACAAGCTTTTATAGTTTCAAAGTAATTTACCTATACGAGCTTTCTATTTGATAGCCAATCTTTGAAAAGTTAGTAGGCTCACAATTGTGCACACAGAGATTTCTTTTTCAAGGTTAATACAAGAGACATATCCTATGTCCACCCTAAAGCTTGATGGGATACATCAAATTTTTAGGGGATTTGGATATAGTGCTTTGAGGGTAGGATTAATACTGTATTAAAGAGGCATGTCACAACAATCTAAATTCTTTTTAAAATTTAATTTTCATTTCAGCTACAAAGAAACATTTTGATTGTGCATGGGTTGGGGGGGGCTTTGTCATCTGCAGGACAACATCAATAAATTTATGTGTATAGGAAGGGGGTAGATATAGCTCAGTGATAGAATACTTTTGTAGTACTGGTCGGATCCCCAGTACTACAAAGCAAAAAAAGTGCAAGAAAATCTCTCATGTTTCCTTATGCCTCAATTACTGTGTATCTATATATCATTTTATTCAGTTAATGCCATCAAATTAGTCCTTTGTTTTTTGTTTTTGTTTTGGTTTTGGTTTTGGTTTTGGTTTTTTCCTGGTACCGGGAATCGAACTCACGACCTTGCGCTTGCCAGGCAGGCACTGTGCCACTGAGCTAAACTCCCAGCCCAGTCCTTTAAGATCTAACAATGCTACAATCCTAATAAAAACTCTGATTTCCAGCTTAAAAGATTGAAATTAGAATTCTACTTCTGGTATTTACTAGGCATGTGATTTGGGCCAAAATGACCTCATTGTGTGGCTTTCTATAGAATAATTTTAGTTTCCTCATCTGTGAAATGGATGCATTAATACAGATCCTTAAGAGAGCTCCTCATCTAGTTTGTGTGCACAGGATGTCCTTATAGCTGGCAACCATCACTACTGTCACCTCCACCACCACTCCTTCTGCTTTTACCACTAACAGAAGCCATTCTCAAATGCCGGCCACCTGCCCAAACTTACATCAGAAAGAAATACCAATACTGTTCATGTCTAGTGGAAAAGGGTATTTCTAGA